TTAATACATAGGTGCACATTAAGTTAGTGTAGCCCAAATTTTTATTATTTGTTTAATATTTTTAAAAATGTTATTAATAACAATTAAATATTTTAAAATCTACTTCCTATTTTAATTTGTAATTCAATACTTTGGTTTTGTACAACTTGGTAAAAGACTGACAGTAATATTTAATGTTCCTTCAAACATAAAAGAGTCCTACAAAACATTTTGATAAAGTTGCGGCCCGCCATTTGATTTGTGTTTCTAACTGTGGCCCCCGGTCTCATGCTAGTTGGAAACCCCTGCTATAGAGCGCGTTGGGATGCTTTAGGAAGACGTGTTTATTCTCTCAACCCTCAGACCCTTGCCACGATCGCAACTGCTATTCAAGAATAATTGCTCACATATCCAACGGAACTGTATTGCTGCTAAAGCTGATCTGTATTGAAAGTACTTTTTCTATTTCAAATGGACACATCTGATTTATTCACTTCACGCAGTTGCTGTCTTCGGCCACTAAGGCAGAGGGAGTGCGATTGTTCTTGTTTTCCAGTGGCACCATTCATTACCAAGAATTCCACGTCTGCCTCACCCATACATCACACCCGTTTAAAGGCCGGACCCATTTATTCATTCGTCCACGGATCGTAATTTTGACCTGAGCCGGAGAACGATCCATCTCCAATTCAGTACCTCAAGAGGTATTGATTTGTTATGGGAACATGGCGGACTTTGTGATCCGACATATTTAACGNATATATATATATATATATATATAACGTTATAAGAAAAACCAAATTGGATTATCCCAAATTAGTTAAGCTTCAGAATTTTCAATTTCCAACACAATGTTGGCCTCCTTGTTACAAATACGTTTGAATCTAATAATTTAAAGTCGTTTTTTGATCTTTTTGAATCGTTTATTGCAAAAAAGAAATAATGGGTTCGTGGCCCCTACACTATATGTTAATCTGAAACGTTTACTGCAGTATCATTATTACTCTGCTGTGGTATTAGTGTATGGAGAGCTGGAAAAAATGGGTCTCCTAACTTGAATCCTATCGAGTGTGTTGGGGAAGACGTGTCAATTCTCTCAATCCTCAGACCCTTGTCACGCTCGCAACTGCTATGTATCCAACGGAACTGGTAGACTGCAAAATTCAAACATCGTTGTATTGCTGCTAGAGCTGATCTAAATTGAAAGTACTTTTTCTATTTCAAATGGACGCATCTGATTTATTCACTTCATGCAGTTGTTGCCACTAAGGCAGAGGGAGTGCCATTGTTCTTGTTTTCCAGTGGCACCACTCATTGCAAAGAATTCCACTTCTGCCTCACCCATACATCACACCCGTTTATAGGCCGGACCCATTTATTCATTCGTCCACGGATCGTAATTTTGACCTGAACCGGAGAACGATCCATCTCCAATTCAGTATCCCAAGAGATTTGTTATGGGAACATGGCGGACTTTGTGATCCGACATATTTAACGTGCATCAGGGTTTCTCCTAATCTATCCTCAACCAATATTAAAGCATCGAATAAATATAATAATATCAATGAATAAATTAATATCAAATCGGATATAACAAATATTTCAGACATTCACCAAAGCGACTATGTGATTGTTGACATTCACCGGTGAATATCGACATTCTCTTGATTTCGGTGAATCACGGTATCATTAACACCACTGTTAACCTCTTTTAATAAAAATTCAGCCTCTCTTGAAAAGTGCACTAACTAATCAATGAAAATCTGCGGAATATTCTTTCTGTACGAGATAATATTCATTGAAGCCCAATTTTTAGATTTCAAGGATGTAGAAAATGCTATTAAGAAAAGAATGACAGTATATTAATTTATATATTTAGTAAACCTTTATTATGAGTGCTATACTAAATTATTAAAAATTGGTGACATCCAAATCCGCTACATCCAAATTGGTTACTTAAAATTATTTATCTAATCTTCCTGGTCACTCATATATTGTTTCAATGCGGTAATAAGAATTCCTAAAATAATTTTGCCGCTTTTCTTCCTATCTTTCTTTCTTTATTTTTTGAATGAAAAACCAAATATTCATGTGAAATCCTTGAAAACCCACCTCTTGGCGACTTTTTGAAATTTCGCCAAATTGGCGATTATTACAGGGATCAGCGTTGCTTTTCGACTATTAAAAAAAATTTAAATTATTACAAATTTATAAAAATATTTTTTAATGGAATAAGAAAAAAATTAAATAATAAACGGTAATAAACGAAATAACGGTTAAATAATGAAATAATAACGATGATTCTAACAGCAAGAGATCAGAAGCATGAATGGCGAAAAAATAAACCCTTCTACCTTTTCTCTAATGGAATCTAACTTTCACGTAGGTATACATAACACATAACTAATCAGGTTAAAGAATTTTGGTGGTGTGATCGTGGCCGTGATCGGACGTACAAAATAATCTCCTCGAAATATCTTCTGAAAACCTATTTTGGCGAGATTTCTAAACTTGCTCGGCAAGATTTTAAAAAAAAAATCGCCACGGGATGGACTATTCTAGGATCCATCCAATATTGCTATTCAGATAAAAAAGCAACCATTTTAAGTTTAATTTTTGTCTTTAAAGCATATTTTTACTGAAGCTTTTGTAATACGTAGGAGGGAGCTAATTTGATACCAGCTAGTGACGTAGAGTGGGTGTCTCGATCCTGATGGGTTGTTTGAAACGTGGCTTTTATTAATGTTAGCAACTGTTCTTTCCATTCTATTTTGAGCTAGCCAAGCCAGTCAACCATCAATTCTCTTAAGTGACACATTCTAAATTCTTTCACCATTTACTCGTATTTACGTAAAAACAGACACGAAGCCACGTAGAACATAAACAAACTAATTATGCATGCGAAGTTGCTAGGTACACAAAACAAAAGTATATCACGGTTACTGTAAAATACTTGAACAAATAATAAATCTAAGTTAAGTAAACGAGAAAGAACGAATCAACGAATTCGATGTGCGATACAGCTCTGTATTTAATTAACGTAACGTTAATTAATGTTCTAATTTATGTAGAGAAACTTAGCTCAACTTTAATACACCATTTTGCTAATAACGTTTAGATGGTGCTGACGTCACAGGCACTCGTGTGGGTATTGTGATCTCCTTCTTCTTCAAGAGCAAGCACCCAATTGAAACAAATTGCTAGGTCCCTCAGTGGACTGATTGTAAAGACACGGTTTCCTGCAGAACACCGAAGTCAAGCATCACTGGATGCTGTCAATAAGCGGGTGGGTGTTCACTTTGATCAGCCTGTGTAGGGACCGAGGGTGAGCGGTATGAGTCCTCGTTAAACTGTTCTACCGTAAAGTGCTCGACTTCACGCGCAGGTAGTCGGACTGACAAAGTGTGATGGCATGTCTTCGGATCATCCCCTAGAATATTTCCCAGACAGTCGCCAATAGCCCATTGTGCAGCTCCAGAACGACGTAAATAAAATGCCTACGTACGAATTGCTATATAAGGAGAATTTTATTTTAATATTTTACTTGCTTTTAGTTGAGAAAAGAAAATCTTGCTACCACTTCCATTTAGTATATTAATTTGAAGTCAATTTTGCATCACTGCGTCGATTGATAGGTTTACGCAACGAATAACTTAAATCTTATTACCACTTTTTATTTATTTCAATTATCTGTGGCCAGATTTATTTACTTGTATAGGTTAACAACTTTAGGCAATGAATAACTACCACTTTTCTTTCTGCCATTTTTTTATTTATTTTTAAATTTGGGATGTCATTTACTCGTACAGTTATTAAAATCACTCAATGAAATACTTATAAGCAGCTACGATTTCTAAGTGATGCTTTAAGTAAATCTGTTTTTACCAATGCCGTAGATTCATTTGTCTTATTGCATCAGTAAGAAGGATGATATTGTTTTTGCTGTGATAACAGATATATGGATAAAAATTATATTTTATAAAAGTAATCAAAATAAGTAGAGTTTATTATAAACCCTTACTGTAAAAAAATTGCACAAAAGTTAAAAATCACAACTGGCTGTTGACACCACTAACTATTAACCCTTTCGCGCCGACTGTCACAAATACGTGACAGCAAAAAACCGTATCAATCAGGGTAAGAAGATAAAACTGGTAATCAAAGTATTTCTTTAGCAGTTTATTTGTGGGCGGAGTTATAATTTTTTGATTTATTTAATTCACCATTACTTTGTTCAAAATAAAACTATTTAGTTATACTTTGAATTAACATTGATTATATATATGATTAAACTAACAATAATTAAAATAAAAGCAAAGTAAGTCTGTCAAATTAGTAACGACTACATTTAAGTTACCGTTTTTTATTTAATTGCAACTTGATTCTGATTTTGTTCGAATGCTTTTCTGAATCACCCGTCCCCAAGGGGTTAACTGTTAACTCAGCAAAAAATAGTCAAAAGAAAAAGACGAAATCGTAAATTTTAATGGCTTGCTTTGTTTTTAAATAAAAATTTTTGAACATTTCGTTTGTTGCAAGATATTTCGCATAAGAACGCGTACCCCTGCGAAACTGTTCCCGCACCCCTGGGGGTACGCGTACCACACTTTTTGAAACACCGTCTTAGAAGACTCCCTAATGGTCAGAATTTTATTAAAATTCAGTTTCAGGTGCTATTTTCGCATGCTAAATTGAATGAAATGAAAATATTGATGTGTTACTTATAAAAAAGGCGTTTTTGCGTCAGAATGAGCCTATTCCGTAACGGTTACAGTTAACTTTTATGCATAATTTACAAGATTTCGTTGTGATATTTCTATGACACTTTACTGGAAGAAAATCCATCGAACCATTCAAGAGTTATGAGTAATCCTTTTTTTTTGCTGACATATGGTATGTTTGTATTGGCGACGACTCAGAAAAATAATCACAACACCCTATAACCGATAGTCTTGAATTTAAAATCTTTTATATCTTAGTACATGAACTATTTGTGATTTGCTCGTTTATTTGTTTAACAGGTCAGGAATGTTCAAGTGACAAAGAGTGCGGAGATGTAGATGCCATCGCCTGCGTCAGATCGTTCTGCAAATGTCGGGAAGCCAACCATGTCCTGTCGTCTTCGACTCGATGCTTACCTGGTAATCCCATGCTTTTTTCCCCTTCTTTTTAAAAAGAAATAGCTGATGGAAGAGCTTTGGATCTTATAAGCCACATTTTGAAAGGAATCAGAACTGCTTTTTCGATGAAAAAGTCGCTTATTTCCATGCAGTTTTCCGACAATAAGATATTTCTGAGCATGATGCCGCCATCTTGTAGAAATTCTGAAAACTTATAAAGTGCTTCACTGAAAGATATCGTGAGGACAGTTAGATGTTAAAATGTCACATTCGGAAATAGTGTGGTTAATAACCGTGTTTCCTCAAGCATTTTAATTATATTTATTTCATTCAAATATTAATAGACTCACCAGCATCCAGAGGAAAAAAACTTGCGTTAAAATTCCGAAAGGAGTATTTAAGAACGTAATGCTTTTCCAATCTAAAATGATCTGAACAAATATCGAGAGTTTCTTAAAAACTATTTTATTAAAATTGGAAATGTAATACGGCGAGCAGCCCTAAAAGCAAGACGGAAAGAAAAAAATCGTTAATAGTCAACCCATTTCATTTATAGTTAGAGTAAACTTATTCTTAGCTGATCATTACTTATTAATTTTTCCAGAGTAAAGAACAGTCCTAAATAAGTGTTAAAAGTGTTAAAGAATTTTGGTAGTCATGGACATAAACAAAACAAAAAAAAACTATATATGTTTTACAATTATGATTTATTGAATAGAGACAAGAAAATTTTATCTACCGTAATAAATGAATGATATAAATATTTATGTTTGTGTGTGAATTATGGTGTTAGAGTATGTCATCGCGACCTCAACGTAGATTTCTTAGATCATCATATTGCAAAGTTAAATTTCAGATTTTTCGAAAAGTACATAAATTGTGACAGCGCAGGATTCAACGAAATTTTTACTTTTGAAAACTTAAGAGAAGACATAAACCTCAGACCGATGGCAGCTCATTTTTGTAGTGACGTAATTTTAACCAAAATACAAAATATTTAATTTTCTTTTATTCTGATTGCATTTCAATTACCAGAAAGAACCACCTTAAAGACCACATTACAAGACGAATGGGAAAAAGGCCGCTAACGGCCCCAGGCGCCCAGCTATACTTCGATGATGATGATGATGGTGTTAGAGTATGTCATTCAAATCAACAAACAACTACAATGAACATTCATATCCTAATTTTATCGTACCATTCTATCGCACCAAACCAACGGTAAAACCATTTTAATGAAATAAATATTAAAGAATTTATATTTTACAGTCTCAAGCTCAGAAAATAAAAATATTGCTTAATGTATCAAAAGCAGGGAGATTATCGAAAGAGCGAGGCTTTCATTTCACTTTTTGATTGTGTAAGTTTATAAAGCAACATATTATAAAAATGGCATGCCACTTTGTCTCTCAGTGGACAACTCGTAAAGACGTTTCAAGTCGAACGCCGAAGTCAAGTATCACTGGCTACGGTCAGTAAGCGAGTTTGTGATCACTTTGATCAGCCTGCGTCTGGCCCGATGGTGCGCCGTATCGGTCCTCTTTAAACTGTTCTATCGTAAAGTGCTCGACTTCGCGCGCAGGTCGTCAGGCTACCAAAGCAGGGGAGTCATCCCGTCCGCAGAGGATCAAAATTGCGATGGCATGCATGGGTGAAAGTGAGACGGAAAAGCTAGGAGTAAAACCATTTCAGTTTTAACTTGGTGTTCAGGAGGAGTAAATTTATTTTCTTCTTTAACCCCTTAACGCACAGATTTTTTTGAAGAAAAAAAACAGCCAAAAAAGTCAATTTTTTTTAATGAAAAAAAACACACTTTAGAATATTGTCTTTTCTTCTGGTAGACAATTTTGATATTCTGCGCTTTTGTTCCAATGAAAAAGGCTATATTCAGAAGTTCCAACTGCTCCGGACACGCCAAAATAATTTTAAAAAAACGGTAAATAACTGCAAAGTAAATTTTGCAAATATTTGACTATTTTTGCTAGCTTTTTAAAAGGTATAGTATGACATAAGTATTATAAAGTATTTAGAAATAGTGGTGGATAAAAATCTACTAAATTGAATTTATTAAACCAAGAATCACAATTGATAAACTACCACTTTAAAATTTATATTTGCTGTTCGGAGCAAGTTGGCATCTCTGTATATTTTATTCTTGAATAAATAAGTGTCATAGCTTACAATCCTATGTAAATGATAAATATCAATAAAAGATTTTTTTTCCTTAGCTTTCATATTGTTATTTTCAATTCTCGATTATATTCGAGTGTGAAAAATTATGGCAGCATAAAATACAACGCCGCTCGAATTATCTCGAGTCTGCGCAGTTTGGCCTGTTTAGCGAGCTCGAATTAACTCGAGCGCACAAGTTAAGGGGTTAAAGTATTCAACAATTTCTACTTTTCCCCAGGAACGAAGCAGTTTTATATATATACTAGGAGGCTTCGCCCCCTGCTCGCTGGCGCTCACCAACTCCCCGAACTGCTTTCGCAGTTTATTTTGGATTGCTTCGCAATCCGATGCTCGCTTTCCTCGCTCATTGGATNAGCACAAGCAGCCTGTCACAGATTACAAATCCTTCTTCAGAACCCCAAAATGGAACTCAGACTTAAACGTTTACTCTTCATCTCGATGATCCGTCCCATCCTAACTTATGCATCTCCAGCTTGGTGCAACATCTCCACATCACTCCTTAAAAAACTCAAAATATGCCAGAATAAAATCCGCAGGAAAATAACAAAAGCAAGATGGTTTATCCGCAATAAAAACATACATCGCGACCTCAACATAGATTTTTTAGATCATCATATCGCAAAGTTAAATTTCAGATGTTTCGAAACGACCATAAATTGTGACAGCGCAGGATTCAACGAAATTTTTACTTTTGAAAACTTTAGAGAAGACATAAACCTCAGACCGATGGCAGCTCATTTTTGTAGTGACGTAATTTTGACTAAAATACAAAATATTTAATTTCCTTTTATTCCAATTGCATTCCAATTACCATAAAGAACCACCTTAAAGACCACAATACAAGACGAATGGGAAAAAGGCCGCTAACGGCCCCAGGCGCCCAGATATATTTCGATGATGATGATGATAGCATGTCTTCGAATAATTCTTAGGGAAGTATCCCAGACAGTAGCCGATAGCCATTGTGAAGCTCTAGTGCGACTTAAAAAGTATACCTACCTACGTTGCATGCCACTTAAACAGTTGAATTTATTCTTTCTATTTGTCGATACTAACATTTCAGATTTAAGCCTTTCTAACTCTAGCTGCTATATTTGATTATAATTTTGTTGTAATTCCGGCTTGATAATAATCAAATAAAGAATCTTAGTAGAAAAGAATGATAAGAGGTAACAATTTTTAATAAAACCCATTTTGACCACATATATATTTCAAATACACACCGCCTGAAATATTTTTGAAAGGAGTTGCTATATTTTGACAAAAATACTTAATAATATCTATCTAAAGTACAGATTTATTTTTTTAATCTAATTATTGTCATTCATAAATATGAAGGCTAAGTTGAAAATCAACTAGCACAAGCTAGAGAAAGACATCATAATGATGCATAATGAAAAAAAAATTTAGTATATATATTTAAGTGCATGCAGAAAATAAATTTTAGTAAATATTTATCATTATTTTATTTAATTATAGTCGAAATTTTTTTTTATTGTAAGGTAGGTATACAATTTTTTACATAATTTTAAAGTGCGTATTTTGACATAAAAAATTTGAGCGAAATCGATTGGATAGTTCCTTAGAAAACGAATTTTAAAGAAGTCATGTATTTAAAATTCGATTTCTTATGAACTATTCAACCAATTTCGCACAAAATATTACATTTTGCCATGTAAAATTACATATTTTAAAGTAACGCTGAAAACTTTATACCTTACAATTTAAAATTTTTTCGACTATTATTAAATTAAATAATTAAATAAAATTTATTTTGGTCATGGAATTATCTTTGGACAAACGAATTTTATAGTTGTATTCAATAATTTTGCAATTCGCTTGAAAATTTCTCGGGATATAGTGAAATACGCAAAAATTAAAGAAGTTCAAACTTTGGATCGCTCTCCTGACCAAACTATGGGGACATTACTTCTCAATTTGCGACTTTCCCCTATATTTTGATATCAAAAATCCGAATCTATTGAAAAAAAAGCATGTTAATTCAAAGAAAGTCCGTTTTTGTCTGATTTCGTAACTTAAAATATTAACGCAAATTAACTAGCATACGATCATTAGATCAAAAGTTATTCAAGGGGGTCCGTTTTTTTGACGCACTACATCATATCTAGTTCATTACTTTTCAAGCATGAAGAAAGCAAATTAAAATCAATGAAATTTCACTTTTGACTTTTAGACTCGAGTAAAGACCTCAGTTGATCCTTAAGTTTAGTGAGATCTAAGCTGGCATTTGAATTTTTTCCCCTAGATTTCATTCGCTTTAATTCCTTTTTTAATTTAACTTGTTATGTAACAATGTCTTGAAATAATGAACACGTTGAAATAATAATAAGCTATAAAAATATGCTCTTATTTTTCGTCAGTTGATAGATTTATTTAAATAACCCCTAATTCACCCAGCAATAAAGAAACAAAGTTAAACCATTACGGTGGCTAATTAAATTCTTCTGAAGACTCATTAGAAAAATCTACTTAAGTTCTCCAAAAAAATTAAGGAGTTGTTTGTCATGCACAGCGCTTAAACGGTTCGATTCGTTTATTTCCTAAGTGGGTTTTATGTTCGAAATAATGAAGAAGAAAAGGCAATTTTCCCGACATTTTCTACTGAAGTAATTTTTTCTTCGCGAACCGTTTGTTTAATTCAAACAAAAAATTCCAAAACAAATTTGCAGCTGAATTGCCAAACTACATTTGATTGTTTAATCCATGTGTTAAGTAGGATCTTTGGTTAATTGACGTCATTCCAATTGATTTTTATAAAAGAGGAAAATAGAATAAACAAAAAGGATTTATGTTGCCTTAAACAGAGT